TTTTCTTACTACCAAATGCTTAGAAAATGTCAATGACGAAGCATTAACAAGTTCACACACACTGTCAATTGTCACGCGCTAGCATATGGAGAAGAATCTTAACTAATGATTTCATAAACGCAAATGCATAAATAATTTACATTACCGCAACAGTTTTAATAATGAATTAATTAATATTGCTTGGAAGGAGTTTACACTAATCTAACAAAATCTACGGTTTTAGGTCATACATTTTTATTCCAGACGCAATTTGTACGATTTCAAAGGGTTTGCTCACGCTTCGATGCGATGATTATAGTTATGAATATTGACAACTAACTTCGAATAAAATTTGAATAATAAATCTAACTATCAAATTTTTCATTTTGCTATATTTAATAAATGAACAAAGTATAGTACTGATTCTTAAAAATAAGCTTAGCACTTCCATGATATCTTGCACTTCCCAAGGAATTAACGAGCTTTTTCATGTTAAATAAGACAGCAACAGTTTTCGCTCATACAATTCAGGGAAGGAGTAAAAACGGATAATATTATTCATGTATCAAGGTGTCAGTTTCAAATAAATTTCGAAAGTATTTCATCGGCATAGTATGATTTCTAGGTAATATTTGATGCCTTAACTATTCTCTTATAGTAAATTATTTCAAATTTATAGAACTAAAAACAGTTGTTGCAATTTATATCATGATCTTTTTCTCTCATGAATAACAATAAGTCCGTGCATGCTTCATATATAAAAATCTACAATACTCATTGTTCCGACCCGAGTGACAATGATTCAGCGTATGATGCACGCACGACACGAAAATATAATATTTTATAGCTCCATCCTGTGCAACAAAATAATTTTGATCATAATTCATGACATAAGAAAAAAGACATTATGTTCATTGTTCTATTCCGAGCTACAATGATTGCGCTCATGAGTCATGACAGCGCCGGACCGATGCGACCCGCATCAGGGATCACGTTACTGCTGTGTATATACAGGCGAGTCTGTACATACAGGCGAGCCTGTGTGTGTTCTGTGTCCTGCTGGGGACGGTGACTTGGTGTCCTTAATGGATATACTTCTCCCGGTGTATTTTAGGATTGGTTTTCCCTTACTCTATGTAGTAGTAACTAGTAACTATGGTAAATCCATTCATTTAATTAGAGCAAGAAATCGAATGACATGTTTATTTCAAAACGATTGCAATTAATGAATATTTGTATTAAATTAGCATCAATAATTCAAAATTTGTTATAAATTATTTGATGTGAAATCTTGGAAGCACAAAACGATGTATTGCCAAGAGGGTGCTGTGAAGGGTGCAGTTTTCCGCGTTGAAGGATGGACTTCCGAAAGAAGATCCACACTCGCTAGAGAAGCCAGGCAGCGGCACAATACATTGATTGCCTTGCTTCTCGCTCCCTTGTGAAGAGCGAAGGCTCGATCATACAATGTGAGATACCCGACGGTAGTTGCGGGATCACGGATACTCGCACATACTGATTCATAAAATCGCCGATCACCAACAATGATTTGTGGTATCGTCGATCATTGCTCACACTTAGTTCTGGTATCGGCGATCATCATTGTTGGTGTTTTGCCTTATGCAAATACAATCATTAATGATGCACGGTAAATTTTGTCGTGTGATGTTGAGATCCGTAATCTGAACGGATTCTGGATCACATTATTCAAATACATTCATTATGTTCCAAATAAATTCTAGTCACGGCAATAATTTTGCTTCTGATTTCGGTCAGTCTTGCTTCCTGAACCGTCAAGGTTCCATATGTCCCCGCTCAGCTCCAGCTGAGTATTATTTCCTCGTGCACCGTTGATGAGAAAATGAGTGTTTTTTTCTCGACTGCATTTCGTGTTCGTTAAAAACATGAAAAAGTGTGAATATTTGGTAGGTATGTGGCAATAACTGTTCAATTATTGTTACTTCAGCGTTAGTAGTTTAGTAGCTCTCCTTATGTAGCAGCAGAAGGCTCCAGTAAATAACATCTTGATGCCAAAGGTTATGTTTTCATCGATATTTGGCAGTATTTTTAAGTACGAATATCCTTGATCGAACGTTGAGAGGTACAGTTTAATCATTTTTTGGGATATTAAAACCAAAGTACATGAATAAAAAATTTCCTAGGAGCGACACACCATGTGAGTGCATCCTAACGACATATTATACTATTATATTAGTATTATATTATTTTTCATGATTCCTGATATCATCTTACCGAAAATGAATGTTACACAACTTCCATACAATCTGCGGACTAATGAAGATATTCAAGCCTTTTAAATAACCCAATTTTGAGCGTAACTAAAGCAGCAGTATAACCAGCCCCCAAGCTAGCGTCGAAGGTTTTTTTTCTATTCGACTGAAGCCCGGAGACCGCCCATACCTCGCCCGCTCGTTCGATGCCGGCCTGAATTACGCTTGCAAATCAGCCCTGCGGTAGAATTAGCGATGCAGAATCTCCTATGCTGATCCAGACCAGCCTGAATTCGGGCTCCACTCCGAGCACTAATTGAACTCGGGCTCCGCCAAAAGCCAACGTGTTTGCTCCAGTTGTACTCTAGCCTTGTGGTCCCGGCACTCGCAGCAGTTTTGGGACGTATTTGCATCGTGTTCATCTCCCACCTTTTGATACATGATCTTTAATAGAACTGATTTAAATAAAATTTCAATAAAAAAGCCAACGCAAAGATTTTGTAATCATACTCTCTTCTGATGCCCAAAGTAATGTTTCAGTTTGCTGCATGCTTATGTGCATCTTTTAATTAGTAGCAAATCAGTTGTTTATATCAGTATGTATCAATAATTTATTAAAATATTTCATCTCATGCAAGCATAAATAAATGGGGTACAAGGAAAAATTATTCGTCTTATTTCTATTGCATAAATCAGGTTATGGACGCAACTTTTCGTAATCAATGTGATTTGTGAAAATTTATCATGAATCGAATGCGCATCCTATCCCTGTAACTGAAATGTTTTAAATTATTTTATCCAATTTAGTTCAATTTCATTCATTCGCCTAGATTATGGTTTAAAAATCATTCAGTACATTTCAAGACCAAAGAAATAATTTTTATGTTATGTATACCCAAGCAACAACGATAAAAGAAAATTTTTTGTTGAACGCGCCAACACCTTTTCTCGCTTGCTCACAATTTTGCAGGTCGTCTGACGAGCTGCAAAGATTTTAGCAAGGAACGCTCGCCTCAGCTTCCCTAGTTTTGCGTCGTGTTAGACGGCACACAAAATCTACGACACTTTTGGTGCCGCTGGGAGTTGTTCAGAATGCGCATTTCAAACTGGACATTATTCCCTCCTGGATTTGTTGTGGCGTTCAAGACTTCTCCTGGCGATCATTTTTACGAGCTTGCGTTTTTCTCAGGGTGAAAGTCCCCGTCTGGCTGCGATGCTGCGTTGAATAATTCTTGCGCATCTGGACCACAAGAATCACTTAATTCTTCTCTATTTAATTTAATCCTTCCTTAAAATTTGAAAATTTGCTGTGCCACGGTGCGAATTGCCGGATTTAGTGAAAACTCATGACGTTAAACGTGTCGAGACAGGAGCCCAATATTTTTTAATTTCTCTTTCACTTGAACTTAAACCGGGAATAATATTTTACCACTATTTGATATAATATTTGAGACTTTACTGTAGCTGATCCATCGCATGAAGCCTCACCAAATGCTGCCCCAGTTTTGAGACGTCGGAATTCATTTTCATCCTCTGATATCGGCGTTCTTAGGACGGCATAACCTATGTTACTTGGGAACGTATTATTATGTTACTTGGGAACGTATTGGGAACGTATTATTATGTTACTTGGGAACGTATTGGGAACGTATTATTATGTTACTTGGGAACGTATTGGGAACGTATTATTATGTTACTTGAGAACATATTGTGAACGTATTATCAAATATTTCGGATTGGCTTCCAAGCTTCCACTAATGTTTGGCATGCAGTGCTTGTATGAGTCATGAGTGCAGGTGGGATACTTAAAATATATTGTTCTGTGATTTAGTGTGAAATTTTATTAAACAACTATGCGATTACTTTTTAAATTACTTTTTAATTACATTTTAGCTAATTCAATCTAAAATTTCATAACGGCTGAACTAAAAATTATACACTGGAGTATATTATTCGATGTGAGTAAAATTAGTTTATTTAGCCTCGACACAATATTTTAATATCTTTTGAGCTAATTAGTTTGCTTGTGCGCCGTAAAGTCTCAGCAAACTTTCCTTCTTAGCTTCCCGAGCTCTGAGTCTCATTTCCCTCTCAAGTTCTGCTCAAATCGCGAGGGGAGATACGAGAGGCAGGCGTGCTGAGGGGTGCAGTCAATACCGGAAGATTGCAGCCAACGAAAAGTTCATCATTGAATTAATCCTCTCAATATAGAAGCCAATGATTCCCTATTCCTCGACGTTCGATCGCTGCGATGTGGAACGTACGCTCGGTAGAAACAAGACGTTCTGGATCAGATTCGCTGCAGTTTCCATGTTTGGGAATAATTCACGTTTTTATTGCCTGAGTTTCCCCATGAAAATAATAAATCTTCTAACTTTGCATATGAATATTTCGTGAGATGAAGGAAAGATCACTTGGCACTTGGCATGTGATAGATCGATAAATGTTTTTTTTTAATTTATGGAAATTTTATCGTTACAAGAGCTATAATGCTTTTCGCCTCCACGGCCTTTAAAAATTAAGGCTTCTATGAAATTTGCGTCAATGAGAAATGTTGGTATAATGATACTTCTCTCATGTTTTTTTTTATACTACTTTTATTGAATGTTATATCAATTTATTATTGTATACCGCATCATCAATACTTTCTCAATTATTGGTCATAAATTCAAAATTGCATTCACCTTGATTCTTGTCTTCGTATTTCAATGTCAGTAGTGGTTGTCTTCAATAATTTTATTTTTCATTGTCAAACTGCATAAATTTTAATGAATTTGTTTTTCGCATGTACTTACAGGCGTGAGCGAGAGTGCGAGCTATGGAGGCGCGTCAGCCGAGTTCGAGTACACTGAGTACACTGACGACGAAGCGCCATATTTCCTGTCGCGGTCTCAGACCTTCACTGTCGAAGTCGGCCAGTCCATCATGATCCCTTGTGACGTCGCCAACCAAGGTGGGTTGAATATTTATACCAAAATATTACAAAATCTTAGACTCCGAGTGTATATTTTTACACTCGTTTAACTTAACATAACATAGCGATGTCGGCGCTGTAGAGTAGGCCTGATGTGGCCAGTCGCCGATTCCTGTAATTTTCGAGACTTATTCACAGAAAATCCAAAAGCATGTCCTTTGACCGGATCATTTATTAATTAAATACACCGGATTGGTATTACAATCTCAGTCTATTTACTTTGACCTTGCCGAATCATGAACAAGTTTCATATATATTCACCAGGAGAGCACAAGCTCGTCATGAGTCGCATTGATGCGTCAGGCAAGAAGCATCTGGTGAGCGCAGGCGGCGTGAAGCTCGTGCGTACGCAGCGCCTCAAAGTCGAGCGCACGAAGCTCACCATCCTGAACGCCCGGCGTCAGGACGCGGGACTCTACAGCTGCTCCTTCCCCACCGCTGAAGGTTTGCTCTAGAGCCAGTCTATTGATATTTGTTTGAAATATGTAATCTATTGATGAAATATCAGTCGAAAATGCCCTTAGAGTCTATGAGGACAGCTTTTAGATTTTTTAGCGGGTTATATGATTCCTTATCATCAATGAAAAGTGTCATCACCGACATGATGTTCAGAGATTGAACATAACATACATGTATTGGGATTACTTAATAGAAGCTGGGTAAATACCACAGATTGTTTTGTGATGCTAAATCGAGAAACAAAATGAATCAATTTAGATCTGTCAACTGCAATTTGCCGTGATATTGGGAAATAAGACACGTCAAATTCAGTTGCAAACCGTCACCGAGTTTTCTTTTCAGCACGATTACATTAATGCGGAGATTAAGAATGAAAGTTTTGAAAGCAACGTTATGTGTCGGAACTTGTACATTAGTGAATGAATAATACTGTATAAAAAGTTACAACAATATTTTTTTGCCTTCCAGTGAGAAAGTTGCCCGTCGATACTTGTTATTGATTTTGTTGCTGAAAGCTTTGCCGTTTACTCACCGACATAACTGTATCTGTGTTTTAATTTCACTCGCACAAATTAGCGTCCCTCCTTTCTGCATGGTTATTCTAGAAGCTCCTAACACTTGAACAACGAAATGTAAAGTATGGAACTCTTTTTGTTTTCAGGCGTTGTATTGCAGCACAGCTTGGACGTACAGTTCCCGCCTAGGATCAATTCCTCGAACCCCGCCATCCAGCACGTGGCTAAAGGCAACTCGGTGACCCTGGCCTGCCAAGCAGAAGGCAACCCTCCGCCCGTCATTGTGTGGTCGTACGAGGGAGGAGTCCTGCCTTCAGGAGCTATGTCAGAAAAGGTGATTAAAAATTCTATATATTTGAAGGGAAGCAATATGTAAATCGCAGAAAAAAATACCATGATTGCTTCATTAACGTAAAATGAATGAGGAGTCGTGCCATGAGAAAATGTTATTCCAAAATCTAATAGGTTTGATTTTTACAAGAAGTCGTTTCATGTGAAAATGTTACAAAGACATTGCTTGACGTGAACTAGAACTATGCCGGAAGATTTCGAAAATGAAAACTTTAATGACTGGTAAGCAAGATGTCTTCTTTAACCCTCGTGACAGGGACAAAGTATGACCCTAGAGGGCGTCGACCGACACGTCGAAGGTACCTACATTTGCACCGCAGAGAACGGCATCGGCGAGCCATCATCAGCCAGGATGAAGGTCGTCGTCGAGTATCCCCCGGAAATCATCACTGAAAAGGTCAGAAATGAAAAAATTCTCTTCTCTATTTTTAAAATAGTGCTGAAATTATTATTTAAAAAATTATTAGGTCGATTATCGGAATGGTACTCCTTCTATATCTAATGTTTTGTGTTCTGCACTTACAACATTTGAAATGGGGCTCAGTATTTTCCATACAATTGAATGTCGTAGCTATCACAAGCAGTGTTTACTAACTCGTACTAACACTTTGCTCACCTCACGAATTCATGCATCATTCCCCATCCAGGCGATAGTGCGCACTGGTGCGGGCGACCAGGTGGAGCTGGTGTGTCTGGTGCGCGGCCGCCCAAGCCCTCGTGTCTCGTGGACGCGCGACGGTCAGCCCGTTCGGACTGGATGGATGCTAGAGGGGCAGTATTACGTGGGCCGAATCAGACATCAGAGAAGGGCGCAGCCATGTCAAAGAGATCCTGTATTTGATTAACCTTTTCACGCTGGAAAAACATCCAGCACATTATGTTAACTTTGAGCCTGGAATCATATGTCAGAAAAAAGGTTTCTTCGTGTGCACTCAGGCCTGCCGCGACAGCCGCGCTTCACGAGCGCCCCAGCGGGCGGGGAGGTGAACTCCTACACCCTCACCTGGGAGACCGACAGCTACTACCCCATCATCGCCTACAGACTCGCCCTCCGCAAAGCACAGGTTTGATCCGTGTTCTTCTTTTAACGAGATAATATAAGGGGAATGCAGACACGTTACATATAACTTTTAAATTTGTTTCTAAAATTATTCAAATACATTACTTGCAAGTCGTGTAGAAAATACACCATAAAGACGGCAAAGGCATCCTTTGATCAAGTCAAACTTATCTGAGTCTGTATTCTATGTTCTAGGCAAATGGATCAACAGAATCTGACCAGGACTGGCAAGACGTGTACCGTCAGGTCGATGTTGAGACGATGACAGAGAACACTCACCGCGTCATGGCACACACGCTCACCAACCTGGACGTTGCTACGGACTACGAAGCGATCATTAAAGTGAAGAACAACTACGGCTGGTCCAGCGACTCCGACAGGTTCTCCTTTGCCACAAAGAAAGGTAATTCCGTCAGCGCAAAACCATTTTCCGCATATTCCGCAGCTTTGCGGCATTCAACATTTTTAGCCCTATAAATTTATGAAATTATTTAAGTAGTTTTTCCTACATAATTTAAAAATTTGAATATGATCCTAAAAATTTTGTTACCCCAATGCACCAATTTGACCGATAAGCAATTAATTAATTAAGTTAACCGACACGCATTGAACTGAACGCCTTGATTTGCTTGTCCGCAGCGCTGGCCGTGCAGCAGTCGACAGGCCGCGCGTCGGCCGGCATCATGCACAGCAGCTCCTGCTCTGCGACGGCGCTGCTGTTGCTGCTGCTCTGGGCGGGGGCGCGCAGACTGCTCTGGTAATGCTGTTCTTGATTCCATGCTGTAATATACGTAGGAAATTCCATCAAGCAATCGACCGTCGTTAATGTGACTCTCATCGCTTCTCTAAAAGGAGAATTGTTAACATTTTTGGTGTCTCTACCGTGACCAAGCTATGGCTTATTTGTCTGTCATTTTGGATTGCTGGGAAAAATGATCTTTATGTGGAATCATAGATGTAATTATTATTATACTATATATTGATTTCCAAGCCCTTCGTCGTATCGGTGTTTCTAGTGATCAGTCGTACAAACTTAATCATGGGTATCATATTTTGAACAGTAATTCAAAGTTAATATTTTCCTGTCATTTTCTTACAATAATTATCCTAAGTTCCGGGAAGAACTTATTTTGAAACTATGATAAAAATCTTAATGATTCCGTAAAATCTATTAAAGTAATTGTAGTCGCTGGACAGCTTTCAGTTGCTGTTTTACTTAAAAAAATATTGGCTCCGGCAAACAAATTCTCCATTAAAAATTCACGCATCTTGAGTGGCGACTAAGTTGTCTTGACAATCTTAAAGCTCGACAATCTTCTTAGAGCTCCATCGACTCCTTTATTGACGAGCCACAGTCGTTAACATCAAAGGAATATGTATTTTTAAGGCTTCCGGCAAAACTTGAGTGGTACAATGCATCTCAACTTCATCGTCGATGTAATTTTGAATTTTGTGCTCACAATTTCAGCAATTTAGATCTTAAATAACATCATATGTGTGAGTCTAGATGTTGGAAATAATTATCCTTCGTTCATATAATTCTTGGTACGAATGTAATATGAACTTAATCATGATGTGTACGGAAATCAGAAGCTTGTCTTCAAGAATACGAGCTTATTGCTCTTCTCCAAATAACCATATTAAATGTCATCTCTGTGGCGATCCTACAATGAGTTCATTAAAGGATTGTCACAACATCGTCATTTAGAACAGAACGAACGATTACTGAGTATTGTTGTAAACTGGAATTTGGAATTCGATATCTCTGCTTGGAAGCTGTTTGACAATGCAACTGCCCATTAGAATTGTTTTTGCGCAGCATTTAATTATATCATGTAAAGAGTGATTAGCTTTAAGACTTTATCGAGGCACTCATCGCTTTGCTCGTAGAGTAAAACTATTTTTCTATTACAATGCATATTGGCTGCCTTATGGATAGTCATGCGTGCATTTACTAGGCCCTCATCCAGCAGTCTTTAGATTCATTTTAGGTCCATTCATCGTGACTATCGTGTAAGTTTTTCACTACATCCAATCTATTTTTATCCAATTGTGATTGTTTCATTTGTAAATAATTTATAATCACACGTACTAAGCTAGATTTTAATCTCAATTAATGTACTTTAAATTTTCAAGAATTAAGCGTTTGTTAATATCAACGTGTCACCTTGCATCTATGAAAATTTATTTTCAGATTTTTAAATGCCATTTTTGCAGCATCCGAAAGAAATGACCGTCTAAATTTTTCGAATGATAAACGTTCCTAATGTTCTTGAATCCAAGTTGTTCCTGGGAGAATTAATTTTATTTTAACTTCTATGCGGCTCGCATATACGGTCAGTCCCAAAATATGATTCTCATTCAATGCGTTTGCATGTAGTGAAATGTCTCCTTCATTTTCAACAAGTCTGATTCCTCCATGAGTGACCATAAATATATTTATCATAATCAATTTAAATATTCAAAGCGCCATTTTGACACGCTGCTTACAAAATTGGTCCTAAAGTATTCTACATGTTGCCATTGATACAAAAAATTACAACATTATTGACCATGAAGTTCCGAACTGTCAAATTAGTTGAGTTTTGTACGCAGAAACTTAGCCTTTCGACTGATAAACTTGATTCTATATTTCTGATGAAAACGATGGTTAATCTAGAATTAAATATTTTTGGGTAGTCTATGAGTTAAATTGGAATGTTAATATAAGTACAATAACCACGATACACTTAAATTAACAAATTTGCTAACTACATATCAATCGTCCTGAGAAAATGAATCCCTTATTGCCATTGAAAACATTCTGTTGTCAAATGATATTTCCTCCTTGTACTCTAAGTATTTCATATTGTAGTGAAATGTACAAAATGCGTCTAGAATTAAGAATTCGTACGACGGTACTGTGTTAGTCAGTAGAGCATCCTGACGTTGCTCTCTAGTCAACATCTCGATTTGTACAGTAAATGTACTTTTAAATTTCCATTTCTGAATTTCGGGTGACATTTTTCTATGGAAGGCAGGCAGAGTGTATTTCCTGGAATCGTTTCATTGTCGATTGAAATCGATACATATTTTGCGCATTAATTTCTATTTAAAAATTGCAACTTATTAAAATTTAAAAGTTAATTTTATAACATAGCGATAAAAGAATGAAATTTCTTTGTATTCTTCTGCACAGCACATATAGGAACAAATTTCTTAATCATTTACTATCCTGTCCGAATCAATTTTCTAACATAATTGCGTGTTAGAGATAATCAAAAGCATTTCGATTATTTCCAAGATATTAGGTTTATTATATGTTTGTTTGAATAATAGTCTTTATTTCGAAACTTAATTGCCCTGTGAGTGAACAATAGTTGAATAGAATACTTCACCTTTGCCTCTCATTGTAAGAGAAAGATAACGCTGTAATATGATGCGAATGTAATGAATGTTTCGCGAGCAACTCCTTAAATGAACACTCGATTATAAAAGTTCCAACATCTGTGGAAACTTTTTAGTAAACTCAAGAGCAAGCTTTTGGAATTCGAATATTTGCTTACGGAATTCACGCGTTTGCTTAAAAATCGGAGCAAAAACATTGTTGAATTATTAAATTATTGATATGAAGTAACGTTTCGGGTACATTTGAGGATAGCAATCATACCAAAAAGATGCAAGATTTTGAGATTATTAATAACTCATTATAGTCATAAGGATTTGATGTCTTTTTCGTATGAATGTATAAATAAATGTTCAAAAATTCATGTGAAATTATTTATTTCTTGACAAACCTTGTTTTTATTATTATAGATTCATATAGATGATACATAAAAGTTTATGAATGTGCTTATTTCACTAACTTGGTCAAATAAAAATCTAAGGTTTTAATAAATTCATGAATAGTGAATATTCGGATCATACCATTTTATACTGATCAACGACTCGGGATATCTCTTATGAAAAATCTTTTCTTGTGATCATTCAATAAAAATAAATTCGTATATCTTACTATAACTCATGAAATTTATTTGAATTACGTACTGTTAAATTTTAAAATTTAAAGCTTAGGATTCCGATGTTGCCTCCATTCCGACACTGCCCGCTTGTTATTGAGAAAATTCGAGTGTTTTTACAAGCAAACAAAATACTGCTGGAAATTGGAAATTTATTGCAGTCTATGCCCGATAAAATCCAATCGAAAAATTTTGAACTGCAAAAATACATATATAAGAAGTATTTTCATTCATTGTCCGATCAGGCTCATACGGATTGCTGTACACGATTTCCACCATCTTTTACAATTAAATTTACTGAAACCAGCAGCCCTAAAATTTGCTTTGATACTCAGTAAAGCTTATAAAAATGTTTGCTTGCTTTCAGTCACTGCTGCTCAAGAGGTCCATGCAGCTGGTTATAATGTGTGGCAGCCACGACTACAAACAAACTTTATCTCAACGGAAATATCCGCTCCCAATTCATAAGCTATTAATTAAACTAATTTTTTCAATATTGATGCAATGCTGTTCGTTACATAGAGAAAAATTCTACTGAGTTTAAAAATTAGGTTTCATCAGAGAAGAATTGAAACATGGAAAGGTAAAAACAGGTTGAATTCAACAGTACACAAATCATGGCATTTTCAATAATAAATTCAGTACTTTCAATGTTTATGCATTTGATTACTCGAGTTTTTATTCATTCTCTTTAAAACAATGGTTCAATGAATCGTTTTCTCTTTAAAATGGATTGAAAACTAATGCAGACAACAGCGTTTCGTATTCTGTTCAAAGTTTACCTGGCATATCCTCATCTTTCCAAAGAAGCTGCAGCAGAAAAGTTTCTGTGATATTTCCAGCAGTAAACTTCGAGTAATTGGTATCAAATATCGTTCTCTCTTTTATTGGTAAGGAAGATATTCCGGAGTTTGCATTATCTGAGCAGCATCAGACAAAGACAAGACGTTTGTTTCCTTCGCTGTGAACAAAGAGGAAGAAAAAGCACGTCTCAACATCGCCGAGAATTTTTAGGTGTTTCTCCGACAAAACCTAAAGAGTTTTGATATTTTTTGCGACCGGTACTTATTATCCGGGAGCAACGTAAAGAAAACAAGAATCAAGCGAGATTCTTAGGAGTCGCTAAAGTATTTGATATGTTTTGAATGAAACTCATTCTTAAGTGATTAAAAAAGTTTGTGAAAATGACATTTTTCGAAGGATTACTCCAATTCCCATCAATAAAACACAGTTGCATTCAAATTTGAAAAATAATTTTGAAACTCTTTTCTATGTCAACGTAAGTTATGAAATATAGAAAATATAGTTTATCATTGTTTTAGTGTTTAACAAAAAGGAAAGATCACAAATGACAAAGGGTTTCGTTCAAAATGACAAAGGGTTTCGTTAATCACATCCTCTATGCATTTTATCTTTCGGAAAGTAGCTTGTGTGACGCAATAATGGTAAGGTATAAAGCGTAAATATCAAACTATGAGATGAATCGCTCAATTTAGTCAGCAACCTACAATTTGCACTCTAAAGGAATAATAAAATTCGTATGTATTTATAGTTACAATGAATAATATCATTACAAAATTCACAAGTTTCACTTGAAACGAAATAAGAATGAGAGAAATTTATTTCTCTCTACTTTTAGTTGAATATCTCATGATACCTTATGTAACCAAGTTAGAGGTTAGGCGAGCCATGCAACGCTGTTTCAATGCCTTTTGCAACAAAAAATCAACCGCAAGCTACGCTGTAGCAACAAAAATGTTTCCACGCCCTAACGCCGCTCAAAACCGCCTTCTAAACTTTTACTCCTCGGTTGAGATACACTTTTTTCATATTTGTTTTATAAAATCTTTAACGCTGGCGTGATGTTGCAGCGACAGACTCTCAAGCCTCAGCTGCGTTAGCTGGAATAGCGTTTGGGCGATTTTTAAGAGCAAATGCGACACAGCGAACGTAATTTAGTTGTGCGCTACCTCGCTTTTTTCTTTATCACGGTAAGATGTTGATGCTGTGTCTTGATCTTATCTTTTAAACTTTCACGTGAAGTCAGACTTTACTGTGGAAAAATAATTAAACATGTTAGCGGTCAAGTTGAGATTGGTATTTTTTGGTGAATTTCGGAAGAAATTCTATCATTAAACCTGACATAGGATTTTAGGGTTTATGCAATTTCTGGAAAATACCAAAATAAAAATAATAATAACTAAAACTTAGAAAAATCCTGAAACAGTTATTCTTGTTCGTTATCAATTCCTTAGTATATTCTACAAAAACTCCAGATCTTTTATTCGTTATACAAGAGGAATAATTTGTATTTAAAGCTATTCCCAGCGTATATTTACCCTGACTGCTAAAGCAGGTGTCTCAAGATACAAAGGTGTCTCATTTTTTTATTCACGAGCATTTTTCATTATTATAAAATTCAAAATTATAATTGAACATTGAGTATACAAGCGCGCACCCAGTATAAAATCAGAAAATTCATAATAAAATTGCATTTATTTTTACAGTTTCGTCCAATATCGGCATTTTTTTAGTACTTCTCCCCTTGGGAGGAACAGACACGTGAACTTGTGTAATGCCTTCATGAAATATATTGAGAAATAAAAATAGATAACATAGCGATGCCTGACTGATCATTATGCTTTTTCTCAGCTAAGGTGGAGATAACACGAGTCTCTCCACAGCGCTATGACTCGGTAATGCTCAGCTAAATTATCTCGAGCATAGAATATAAAATCGAACAAAGCAGATTCATAGCAGCTCATGTGAGACTTAGAAAGATAATCTTGTTGCAATTGAAGCTAGCAGAATTAGTGTTTAAATTAATACCGACATCTGGCTTGCTAAGGCTGATTGTTGTATTAATAATATGCTTATATAGTCTAACAAAATCTATAAAGATAGAATACACAAGTTAGAATATACTGATGACTAACTCAATGTTTAGTGTATACCACATTCACTAACTTCATTTTTGTATTTAAAAACATGGAAACGTCTTTGTTGTAGTGAGATATTACAATCTAAATATATAACAAAAACTCTTTTGGCAAAGAAGATTTACGCAAATTTATGAATTAAACTTTTAAATTATTATGATTTTTAGTTTTAATTATTGATTATTTAATTTGATTTATGTGAACAAAATTTATCAGGATTTCGTGTACTTTATTTAACAAGAAAAAGAATCAATTATTTAGAAGATATGTAACTCCCGAATTTAAAAGGAAATTGAATGATATTTGAGATTTAATTTCTTCAATACGCTAAACCTCCCAGGGGGCTCGCGCAACCTACGAAATGTTGTCATCTTTCACGTGATGTCATTTAGCCAGTAGACATAAAGTTCAATATTCAGGCGCTGTCAACCAAAATAAATTGTGAATCTAAACTTATACGCCAGCATGTCAAAATAAAACTTAGTTCTAGCAAGATATCGAGGTTTGAGCCGTTAGGTGGATCGAGACTCCACATTTTAAGTAGAATGACTGATGAGTGGAGCATTACGTCTGTTAAAAAGTTCCTGTATGTATATTAAAAGTTCCAAATTAAGAAATAAAAAATATATTTATGTGTCACTGATTATATTTGAAGTGAGGCACAGAATTTTAAGTAATGAGCGTCTTGAAGATTAGTTAAAATTTATTCAAACGCGTTAAAGTAAGAAGTCTTTACATGCTTAAGAATCCAACTGAATTTTACGTATATCCTTGGCAAAACTAACATCACTTGAGGTAAATTAACAGCTCTAAATTAGTCAGTTATTATTTCTTATTGTAAATTGGTTTCATGTTATCTGCTTCTTATTAGTTTTATATAAAAGATTCCAAAATGTGACTTCACTCTTTTGCGATTGCAATCTACTGATCGATTGAATTGATCTATTGAATGAAACAATTATTCTCTTGATTGACTATTTGTATCTCTTGACTTACTTTTGAACTCTTGACTGACTATGTGGATCCACAGACTCATATGTATGTTACAGATGTATCATGATTTAAATAATCGTTTTCTTGTGGCATTTATCTATTTATTATAGATTTTTTCATCTACAGAGAATAGCAAACAGCTATAATAGAGTGTGCAAAATATTGTGTCAAGCTCTGCGATTTCAAAATCAAGCAACTTTCAAAATTTCTGAGGAAAATCCGGTATTATGTGATCGGTATGACATTACATCGTTACTTGACTCCTTATACTGAACACAGCAATAACTGTCTAGGACGGATTATTGGGCGAGTCTAAAATAACCTACAGTAAGAACGTGTAATTCTTGTTAATAACCTTCAATAGAATTTAAAAATGTGCCCGGTTATACATATAACACTGCCAATTTAGGTAGAAAACAATCACAATCAGTCAGAACAATCTTTTCTATAATTAACAACACGAGATTGCCACGTAAATTAATATTCACATATCTCAATTTAAATTTCATATTATTGCTGGGAAAATAACGTGCTACATATGAGTAGAAATGTACTCCCTTAAAGATTGATTTGCTTTAATGAGAACTGCGTTACGAAAAAAAACGTAAAATGCAGCTACTTACTTTTTAAATTCGTTGATCTTGTGCCACGAATACGTTTTTGTTTCAACATCGAGTACAAATCCCTGATGAACTAACTAAACAGACGACATAAATACAGGTGTTGATTCGTTGAGGACATCTTTTGAAGCCTCAAGTTGATATTAAAACTCTCGAGAATCATCTTAACCTGGAATTGAATTAAACGCACCTAATGATG